TCATATTATTTCACAGGGCTTTTAAGCTTAACTGATTATTTTATTATGGTTACAATTTACTATACATCATAATTAAAATAAAACAAGACATATTTGAAAACTAAAATTGAGCAAAGGAAATAAAATATTTAACCCCTTGCACCATTCCACGAGTTCACACTTCGTTTTTTCTTTTTCTAACGTCTGCTTGTAGACCGATATCTATTGTCTTTTTTTGAGGTTGTTGAGGTAATAGTATATGGACCCGCAGTGTGCACGCTAATTTTATTCGGGATAATGTGAGTTATTCAAGTAAAATATTCGATGACCCCCCCATAGGCTTCCTATATATTTTTAAGTCGAAGAATTAAAGCGTAAGAAACCATCTCCAAATACTGAATCCATGGAGGCGACGAGATTAGTATTACTCACTGACGTGAGAAAAACATTTGTATATAATATTTGATTTAAACTAATGTAAAATATCTTGGCTCTTGAGTAGCGCAGTGGTCTAAGGCACTGCATCGCAGTGCTAACTGTGCCACTAGAGATCCTGGTTCGAATCCAGGCTCTGTCGCAGCCGGCCGCGACCGGGAGACTCATGGGCGGCGCACAATTGGCCCAGCGTTGTCCAGGGTAGGGGAGGGAATGTCCGGCAGGGATGTAGCTCAGTTGATAGAGCATGGTGTTTGCAACGCCAGGGTTGTGGGTTCGATTCCCACGGGGGGCCAGTATAAAAAAAAAAAATATGTATTCACTAACTGTAAGTCGCTCTGGATAAGAGCGTCTGCTAAATGACTAAAATGTAAATGTTTGATAAAAGCAATACATCTTTCTCTGTTCCAGACATGTTGAGTGAGGTAGGCCTTATGTTTGTTTCTTGAGTAAAACAGTTAGAGTTCAAGTAATAAAACGTTTTTTAAAAGATATTAAAGAGCTTAATTATACATGCATGATTATACAGAAAAATACTAAAATCATGTTTTGGAAAGCTCTATTATATTTAACCAGACTGAGTGAGGCAGTTGGCATCCATGTGTTTTTACATCCTCGCATGGGCGCAAAACCGATGGCTAACATCTGGTTATGATACATTCAGATTTAGACCAAACACATTTCATCAGTGATATCCATCGCTAAATTGCAATGATTTGAAGGAACATTTGAAATTGATGAACTTTTTAACAGAAGCTTTCGATTTTGATATTAAGACAACATGCTTACCTCGCTATATACATCCAATCGATATTGGTTTGTCCAGAAATAGGACCATTGGAATAGGCTATAAAGGCCTCTCCCGTTTGGGGAATTACCTGTGAAACTATCAGGCAAGATGTCACCGAACAGCTAACAGCTGAAAGTCATATACGTCGCTCAGTTGGTAGAGCATGGCGCTTGCAACGCCAGAGTTGTGGGTTCGTTTCCCACGGGGGGCCAGTATGAAAAAATGTATGCACTTACTAACTGTAAGTCGCTCTGGATAAGAGCGTCTGCTAAATGACTAAAAAGAAAAGGATGGGAATGGATTGTTTTGACATCGCCGCTGTTTGGATGTGGAGAGCATAGTCTATTGATTAGGCTGTAGCCTACACCCAACAACATTTTTGTTCACAAAAAGTTATTATCATGTAGCTTTGGGCTATTTGTTATTCTGACTGCTGCTAATCATTGGAAATCGGTTTGGCATCAAACGACAGTCAGTGGTTATAATGCAGATTTATGCAGATTCGATTATTGACTGTCCGCTCGAGACGTGACGGGGAGGTGCCAAATTTAGAGGAATCTTTGAGCTCGCGGTTGATTAATGGTCAGCGGAATCTCAGGGACAAAAGTGGGCTAGTTAGAGAGGGCATAGGGCGCCGGACGGAGCCAGCTAGACGACAAGGTAAAAAAGCAACGAAAGAAGTCCAGTGTCAAAAACTGGATTTGCTGAGATGTGTGCCTAGTCCCCGGAGACAAACAAATAAAAGGGTTAACAACAGGTTGTTACTGAGTTAAAATAAAATTTAACCATTTCTCATAGCAATCAGTTATATTGTCCTAAAAAGAACCACAATAGCAATTTGCAATACTCAATGTTTAGCTGACATTTGGATATTGGCAAATAAAAATTAAGAAAAAAGTTGAGGGGCCCTTGCACAGTCTGGGATGACCCCTGAGAGCCAGCCAGATGAGAGGTCATGAACTTTGACCTTGACCAGCTCCAGGTTGTCTTTCTCCTGTAGATGCACACATCGCTGAGACATAACCCCAAACACTGCACTGGTATAGGTGTCTGTCTGATGCCAGTCCAGTCCTGGACAACCACCATTCTCCCTGTCTGCATGTCCAAAAACTAACTTGGGTCTCCAACCCGGGTCCAGTGACTGTCAAGCCAACACCTTAACCGTTACGCCAAGAGGTCCGAACCTCTTGACGAGGTCGCTAGGTGTTGGGTTAAGGTCGCTACATTACCCCCTTCCTTCTGGAGAGCGTGTCCCCACATCACTCAGACTCTCCGATTGCCCCACGGCTGCCATCCCACTTCTGACACCAATGTAGCGAATTCGGGCGGTAGCCCCGACTGGGACTCGAATCCGGGTCCAGCGACTGTCAAGCCAACACCTTTAATGTTACGCCAAGAGGTCCGAACCTCTTGGGTTGAGGTCACTACAATATCTGTTATGCTGTCTTTGAGACAAGGTTCGGAATATTGTTATGCTGTCTTTGGGACAAGGTTCTGAATATTGTTTTATTTTCTTTGGGACAAGGTTCTGAATACTGTTATGTTGTCTTTTGGACAAGGTTCTGAATATTGTTATGTTGTCTTTGGGACAAGGTTCTGAATATTGTTATGTTGTCTTTGGGACAAGGTTCTGAATATTGTTATGTTGTCTTTTGGACAAGGTTCTGAATACTGTTATGTTGTCTTTGGGACAAGGTTCTGAATATTGTTATGTTGTCTTTGGGACAAGGTTCTGAATATTGTTTTATGACCAGACTAGCCCTCAATGCAACTGTCTCTTTCAAGATCTATTTGTCACGTTCGTTCATAGACGGGTCAGACCAAGGCGCAGCGTGATATGCATACATGTTTATTTAACGAATAAACACAACGACAAAACAATAAACCAACGACACGTGACGTCCTAAGGTACACACAACAAACCTCACACGGAACAAGATCCCACAACCCACTAGTGCCAAAAGGCTGCCTAAGTATGGTCCACAATCAGAGACAACGAGCGACAGCTGCCTCTGATTGGGAAACACACCCGGCCAAACATAGATCTAGACATACGAGATAGAAAACATAGAACTACACAACATAGAAAATCACACCCTGACTCAACAAATAAGAGTCCCCAGAGGGCGTGACAGTACCCCCCCCAAAGGTGCGGACTCCGACCGCACAACCTTTACTTAACAGGGTAGGGGCCGGGTGGGCATTCCACCTCGGAGGCGGATCCGGCTCCGGGCGTGACAACCACCTATTCTCCGCCTCCCTGTTGCGCCCCTGGTCTGGTCTGGACCTCGACTCGCTGCTTCCCCTCTCCTTCCTCCCACTATACTCCAAGCCCTGTATGGACCCTGGTGTGGGAGACCCCGAACCTGGAGAGGGGCTGACGTCTGGGTCTGGACTGGAGCCGCTGACCGGAGCTGGACCAGGCACCGGTGGAGCGGACTGCTCTGGCTACGGAGTGGAGCCGCTGACCGGATCTGGACTGGACCCCGGTGGAGCGGACTGCTCTGGCTCCAGAGTGGAGCCGCTGACCGGAGCTGGATCAGGCACCTGTGGAGCGGACTGCTCTGGCTCCGGAGTGAAGCTGCTTACCGGAGCTGGACTTGACCCTGGTGGAGTGGACTGCTCTGGCTCCGGAGTGGAGCAGCTGACCGGAGCTGGATCAGGCACCGGTGGAGCAGACTGCTCTGGCTCTGGACTGGAGCAGCTGATCGGAGCTGGATCAGGCACCGGTGGAGCGGACTGCTCTGGCTCCGGACTGGAGCTGCTGACTGGTGCCAGACCAGGCACCGGTGGAACGGGCACGGGCCGTGCCGGACTGGACACACTCACCACTGGTCTGGTGCGAGGAGCAGGCACGGGCCGAACCGGACTAGGAACATGCACCACTGGCTTGGTGCGAGGAGCAGGAACAGGCTGGGCCGGACTGGCGACACGCACCACTGGCTTGATGCGAGGAGCGGGAACAGGCCGGGCCGGACTGGCAACGCGCACCACTGGCTTGGTGCGAGGAGCAGGAACAGGCCGGGCCGGGCTGGCAACGCGCACCACTATCTTGGTGCGAGGAGCAGGAACAGGCCGGGCCGGGCTGGGAACACGCACCACTGGTTAGGTGCGAGGAGCAGGAACAGTCCGGGCCGGACTGGCGACACGCACCACTGGCTGGCATTATTCAGATAGTAGGCCTAATTAGTCTAAACATGATGGGCCTTCCTCAGGGTTGAAAAACAGATTTTCATTGAGGGGAAACAATATGCCCTGTCTTGAGAAATTGGCTATAAGGTCCAGACCCAAAGTAAAAGTAAGCCTAGGACTACTTTATTAGACTACCCTCCAACTTCCTCTGAGTGCAATGATGTCACTTCTATCAGTTCACTATCAGTTTTCCTTTCTGTTTTTCATGAGTTTGCCTACAACTCCAGCACCCGTGGAAAGTACCTGGATGTTCTTCAGCTTTTGTACTTCTATCAGTTCACCATCTAGAAAATACCTTTGGAAATGGTGCAACAAAAGATGTAGTGCTCTACCCTGTAGCCTCACATGCTCAATGTTGCAAATGATTTAGACCTACTTGAAAATAAACTAAGCCTATATATTTTTTCCTCAATGAAAGATAGGACTACTGTAGCCTAAATTAAACGTAAATACTGTAGACGAGATAAATTGCGAAACTATAGATGTTTTCACTTCTGCACGAGCAGTGAATGAATGCTGTGTGACTCTTATATCGTCTGCTCTGCATGCGGCGTCAGCTGATCGCGTCACGTGATCCGGTGTTGTGGGTCATTCCTTTCTCAAAATGGAGTTGTCTGAGTCCGTGCAGAAAGGGCTGCAGTCTCTAGCAGACGCGACGTTTTTCGACCTGAAAACCTTCTCAGTGTTGATAGAAGTGGCTTTTCGCAGCTTGCTATCAGCCCATGCCGATCCTAGTGTTCTCGGTAAGACCGCTCTGCTTTCTCTTTTTCCTGTCGCCTTTTGTTTCTGCTGCTTCCATAGCTTCCGGTTTCTTCCCAGCTTGACTTGAAGGCTAGTATTATCGGAGAAATCAAAATCTTGAAATGTATGATACAATTTAACACCCGTCGATCTGAAATGTATCAAATGTAACAGTGTTTGTATCCTCCATGTTTTAAGTGGTAGCATATTAGGCTACTTTGTAGCTAGTTATGGCCAGGAAATGTGACAATAGGCCTACTGATCAGGCTAGTGAGGGTGCAGGCTTGGCTACCGTTCCATCATTTTAGGAAGCAATCTGGAACTGAAAACGTGCAAGTGCCATTGCTCCCAATGACGAAATTTGATATTTTGATCAAACTGTATGTTTCTAGTTGTAGCCTAAAATAGTGAATTAATTGGGCTATTGAATTTATTGGACTATTGCCCGTTTAAATGTGTGTGTGTGTGTGTGTGTGTGTGTGTGTGTGTGTGTGTGTGTGTGTGTGTGTGTGTGTGTGCGCACGCGCGCGCGCTACAGAATGTTGCATGTTGTATTTTGCATGATCAATTTGTATCCCCTTTGGTTAAGTTTAGGTTATTAGAACTGGATAATATACACTCTAATAAGGCCCACTATAAAACGATACAACAGTTCACAGAGAGATTAGGATACAGTTAAGATAGATGTGATGAATAACTGGTCAATGTTTTTCGCTGATCATAGATCAACCTGAATTTAAACGTCTTGACCAGAAGTTGCTGAAACATTGTCACACCGCTGTCACGACCTGCATACTGGAGGGGGTCAAACAAAACGCTGACAAATCCTCTATAAGGTAACTCTAGGTCTGTCCTGTTATATTATTGCAAATGGAGGTTGACCTATCTGAAGTTAGTAAATAATTAATTTTGATGGTCCTCCAGAGCCTGGGGACAAGGTTAGCAAACAATAGGCCTAGACTGTATTTTACTGTCCACACAATGTTGTGGGTTTGCCTTTGGCTTGACAAAATGACACATGACAAAATGTGGAGCACTCTGTCATCAAGAGCATTCCACTTCACCGCCTACAAATCAAATCAGTAGGTCTACATCAGGAAAAAGGCAGTGTGTGTTCATTATGATTACTGTATTGATAAAAAGATTGAGCTAATTTTGTCATTACAGCGCATGCTTGGAGGATGTTAGTTTTGATGCGGAGAGAACAGAAGTATTCTACACCACATACCAGGTGATAACTGACTTATTATGTTAATAACATGTTAATTTCTTCTTGCAAAGAAGTTCATTTCAAATCCATACCAGATCTCAAACCCAAACTGTCTTTTTTTTTTTTTGTTCTCCAGAAATATAAAAGTGATCTGGAAACTCTATTGTCAAGGTGAGATTATGTTTGTAACTTCTTCTGAGAGATGTTTGTATTTCCTCTAGGCCTATTTGAAATGCCATAACGATTCATGACTGGAATTATTGTGGCTGAAGCTTTGAGTGGGCAAATCTACTTGATTTAAAAGATGATATTTAAAAATAAGACTATATTGTCTGTTTGTACAAAAATACTTCTGGGTCACCACAGTACAGATACGTTTGTTTACTGTGGGCCCACATTCTAACACATCCCAACAATGCAGACACAGACATATAGACAACACTTTATCAGAGCCTTATTTTTGTGTTATGGGTTCTCTATATGGCTGATGGAGCATCACTTTAGTGATGTTGCAGTTTACACTTCATTAACACCTCTGTAGACCTACAAATGGTATTGATCTCTTCTATTGACGTTTTCCAGTAATGTTATATATTTTCCCAATACACATTTCCATCCCCATTGAAACGTCATGTACAGCCTAAAAAAGAGGAATGGACATTAAAACCATATAGAGGTTTTCATTGGATAAAAATGTGTTTACTTAATGTTGAGTCAGAAGTGTTGGTTTATTTCAAATGTATTGAACAGTTACATTTAGATGAAGCACTGATTTTGTTCGAAATTCTTTGAAAGCTTTTGGTGTGACATCAGGAAATATACATTTTACATTTCCATAAACCCAGATGAGTAAACTGAATAAGCTTGCTTAGCATCATTGCAATTAATGTGATTATTTTACTAATTTTAGCTCAATTTAAAAAAGTTTATAACTACTGAGCTGTCAGCACATTGACCATATCGCTTGAATATTTTTATGCTTCACTTTCCTAGAGAGCAGCAGACAAGGCTATGGAACTAGCCTAACTCAGTTCAGATTTATTTGTGACTTATATTTTCACCATGCATGATCTCTTCATCGTTTAAGATTCATGAATTGCCCTGCAAATGTGACATGACAATTTGGTTCAAACAAGCACTTTTTGAATCGGTTTATTTTCCTTAGAGAAAGTGCAGTTATTTTACGAGGAGCGTTTGCTTGTAGCGCATTGATATAAGCTTCTTTTACATTGTAATTATTCAAAACACGAGTGGCCCCTTTGTCTTCATTCTGACAAACAAACTTCAGAAATCTGAAAACTGTTGCTCAGGGCCTGTTCCCCATAGGGCTCCAGCAGTGATAAGACGTTTTGTTTTTTTACACACGTAATATCACTAATACGCTGAATGACTGGTTTAAATAAACAAAAAATAGGTTTAATTAATAAGGCTAAGTTTGAACAGCCTATAGATACATCTCTATTCATGGGATCCTCTATGCATGCTTTTTACCTTGTGAATATAATATTTTAATATTGTATGTATCTGTGGCCCATTGGTAGCCTAATTCAGTATTTTGGTCATTTTAGTTTAGGGAGATGCCCTCCTCATGTCAATGACGTGTCCTGGCGCCTGGAGTACTGTATCAAGGTATTGGTTGGTGATAAATGGCAATACGATGAGATAATTATGGTTTATAAATCATATAGTGGCTCGATAGCTCTAACTTAGTTTGTTTCCATGACAGAACGGGCATGTGCATAAGGTCAACGAGCCGTCCTATCTGATTTCATTAAACGTTGAGGTATGTCCCTTTTCAGAACTCAATGATCTAAAACTGTTTGGTGTATAAGTATGTTAAACCTGTCATCATAACAGATGTTAGCATATACTTTTACAGAATGCCAACAATGGAGGATCGTCGGAAGATGTACATTTTAGCTGCACGATGGAACAACTTCAGGTAGGTAATGTGTTGTTGCAGCCTATATGGAATGTGGGTCTATCCATTAGTTGGTTAAGGTCATTTCACAGAATGTCTGTGATAATGTTTTACATACAATCCTGAATGTGCTATTGATTTGAATAGACAACGCTGTATTTTCCTATTCAGCATTCGGCAACTTTACAGATCTGTAGGCCCATATCATTAGCGTTTAGGTCCACGTGAATGAGCACAAAGAAAATCAAAAGGAGAAAAAAAAACGTTTCGGGTGCATGCTTGCAATGCAAATGATTATTCTACTTTTTCTTGAATAAGATGTCTTTCAACAATGTGTGTCTAGATGGTTGTCTTTCTACTAGATTTAGCAGAGATTGAAATTTGAACCTGCGCAATAGCTGTATTTTAGTCCATGTGCAATATTGTTCTGGAGAAGGATCAATCCATCGGGTTTGACATCTTTTTCCCATTTTATTCTAAATATGCATACATTTAACAGAAAAACAATGGTGATTTCAATTAACATTTTTTCAGTAATCACTCGAATTATCGGTTGCCAAATCATCCATTATTTTCTGTGTGAATATTGATTGAAAGAAAAAAGCAGAACCGCTGTGACAGGGCATGCAGTGGTCTCAGGATTTAAAAGTTTAGCCTATAAGCCTATGCTTATCCTAAACAAGTCTCAATTGTGGCATGTTCTTTTAACTTTTCCTTAATTGAGTTCGATGTAAGCCAAATTCCTTATATGTTTTATGTCTTCACTGCGACCTGAGGTTGTCTGCTTCAACGTGTCATCTCATGCTTTGGCTTCTTCACTACATTTTAACCATGTAGCTGAAGCTTCTATCCAGAGTTAATTGCATTGAAACAGGGCAGAAACAACCCCAGAATGTATTTTGAAATGAGTTTAGAGATAGGAAGGGAGTTTGGTGATGTGTCTATTCGGAACGCTCTGTCTTAACCCTCTTTTGGGGGTTGCATTCCATTTTAGTTGACGTAAACATTATATTAATCAAAAATATATTCCCTAATGAACGAAATGTACACAGGCCTACTATGATGACTATTCAGTTATGAATTAAAAGAAACCGACTCCCATTCTTCCAGGTTTTAGCGTAACATTTATTGGTTATCTGAGTGACAGAGGCAAGGTTATAATTTATATTCAACAGCGCTCCTCCAGTCAGTGAGGGAAACCATTAAATGGTTTGTGATTCAAACTCTCCCTCATTCACTGTTTTGTAGAGGACTGACTGTGTGACTTTGTTTTCAGGATTTGGTGGGAAAGATGAAAGACGCTGCCAAGAGTCTCGAGAAGGCTACGCAGTTGTAAGCTTGCCCTGTGCTCGAAGCGCCCTGCAACAACGGTGGAATCCGGCCTGCAAGAACGGTGGAATCCGGTTTCTCACGTGACCCCCTCTTCTCCTCTCTGCTCCCCTCTTCTCTCTCCTCAAAGCACTGAAGTTCAGCGATTTGAAACGGCGTTGATATGATTTCTGTCCCATTGTATTTTATACTAATTTCATTCGTAATTAAATATACTGTTGGTTATCCGTTCTGCAAAGATGTATTGTTATCAATAAATAAGTTAAATGACATGCATGGGTTTCTTTTTTTCTGGTAACTTGCAGGCTGAAGAGGAGAGGAGCCAAATGATATTAAAGTAGGCTATAAAGTCCAATGCATATACTTCATATCATCTCTAGATCTGTAGTCTATGTCGAGAACAGTTTCTGACTGATATGAGCTTGTAGGTGTCTTGGAAAGATACTGTGCCGAAGGAGACTGTGCCACATGACAATTAAAGTGTAAAGGGGACAGGTATTTGAGTCAAACAAATAATTCAAATAGGAGAGAACATAATGAATGGCTCACCAAAACGAGCACCAAAGGGAACTGCACAGCCTGCAGTTTATGGTTCCGAGCCTCATCCTATAGCGGAGCTATTGTAGCCTACAATACTTCAAATTCTTAAACCTTGAAGAGACCCCTCTTTTAGTATGCTATGGGGTCGTCGGTTATGGAATATAAACACAGTAGCCCAAGATTTCTATCGGCTCTGGTAATGAATGGTACGTTGGCAAAGGCAACCAACTCATTTATGACAAAGACGCATTTTGCCAAGCTCATTCTTTTGGAAATGGACATGGGGGAGGCACAGGATAGAAACGGAGTTGGAAAAACGCACACTGGCTATTGTTTCGAAAACATCGGTGCTGTCTGTTGTAGCTTTAAGTGACACTAAAACGTTCAAAGCAAATGACCCGATCGGTCAACATGATGGGCTTTGGATAACCTAGATATTCTTTGTGTCATTTTACAAAGCATCATGAATTGGCGAGCCTTCCGAATACACCGACACTAATTTCCAGGCCACCCTTAAGGAATGATAGCACGTGACCAGAGCGGGGCGGTCGAACTACAAGCCATTTTGGGGACGGTGTCAGTTTCCACCAAGCCACACTGCTGCATTTTTCAAAGAACAGATTTTGGAGGCAAAGTAATCAGGAACGCAAACACACCATTCTGAACGCATAGCCAAAAGTCTGAAATCTTCGACAACAGAGGAGACTTTACGCACCCAAAGTGCACAGCGGGAGAAAAATACGAATTTTACGCATCTGAAATGAGCCCCGGGTTGCCTTGCGCTCTCCGCAATTGACAGCGTCTGCAGCTCGTTCGTTTCAAGATGGCGGCTGAGCTCGTATTCATTTACTGCTGATCGCCTCCTAACTTTCATTGTCTCTCCGTCTCCAGTCTCGCAGATCGCCAGCCGAGTCTCTAGGTATGTATTATTCGATATATTTTCTTACCAACGGACGAATAACGATGAGATTTTTGGCGTTTAATTGTGTTTTTCTGAGGGTTTAAATGGGGTTCCAGCGGGTGGTTGATGTGGGGCTTTGACGGTGGCTCGCGCACACGGACGTGGAACTCTGTCCTGGCACTGCTTTTTAAATTTGGTTCCCTTCTCGCGTACCCCTTGGTTTTGCGTTCAACAAACCAGCGCATCACATTATGTAGTATTTCATGTAATGATCGGTTATGCGTGTCCATGGAGAGTGTTTCTGTGACATTTGTTAGATTTCCACAAAGTCAGTTATCTCAATCGAACAGGACCGAGATGTGTGAAGTGTTTACGGCAGCACACAGTTCAATGCTTCTCCTGGTTGGTTTGGTTCCATATACTGTGCCCATTTTATAGAAATATGATCCTTTGGATGTTGGGGACAGATCAGTGTGGTTGCATTACGCACACGTCGCCAAGTGTTGTTTTTATTAACTTAACTTCCCTCTTGGTGAACGGGTCCACAGTAGCCTATATGGTGGAGGGTAAACCATTTAAATTATTAATCAAAAGATCGTCACCATCAGTTGTAAAATATGGATTTGAACGTACACACGCAAGCTGAGTGCATAACGATGTAGACGCACATGAATCATGCGTAAAACCAATTTTATGATTTTTCCCTGTCAAAGATGTTGGCACAAAAGTCAATTTATTGATTGAGTACAAGGGTCTTCTCAAGTAGCCAACTTTAAACCATCTTTAAATTATCTGTAAAATTCAGATAGGCCTATTAACTATTGAGTTTCGTCACGACTTTTTACCATTCTTAGCCTTCTTGATGTTGTATTGGGCACACTGTGCCTTCATCGGCCAACATGAGTTTAGAGGATTTTTTTGTTTTTTCCTCTGTTGAAACCAACTCTGACCGCTTCTTGTTAACTCACAATATAGCATAACATGTTTTATAAAGTGGGAACATGCATAAAAAATGTACCCTGCAAAGATCAAACATGTCAGACTAAGAACGTTTTGCACGGTGCTAGAACATTCTCTTGCTGGATTGGTTTGATACGCTGTGTGTTTGCATGGATCCATGGCGTCTGCTACTTGTATGCCTTGCTTCGTAATAACATAGGTATGATCAGGTTATCAACCTGCACATGCTGAGTGTGAGATTATCTGTCATGTGGAAGGGTACTGTTTGTTACTAAAGATATATATATATATATATATATATATATATATAACGTTGTTTGACAGTTGACAACCTACCCATAGAGGATTTATGTGAGAGTGAGGTTGCCAACGTCGGTGCTTGTATACTATTATTGTGGCCTGATTTGTGTTGATACAATGTTTCTGTTTGTGATACTTGTTGAAGTGCATCTTTGACGCCCAGCCATAAAAATAGAGATTTCGAAGTTGACTTATTGATCAATTCTATAAAGTGAGGCCTCATCTTTCCCATAGCGAAGTTAATATCTGAAAATGGTGACGCAAATCCAGCCGCTGATGAATATAGATTAGGGTTCCATCCAAAAATGGCGAGAATGGTGCCGGATATTATATATAGACCAAAACAGCCAGCCCTCGAAGACTAGCCCACTTGGTCTATCCTGTCTTTATGAAGAGAAGGTGCTATACTGTATTATCTGTATTCATATTGCATTACCAGAGTCAAAATTGTGTACATTGTGTTTAGATTATACATGGGTGATGCTCCACTCTTCCTTAATTTTTTTTGGGGGGGGAGAAAAAATCTGCCTATCCTACTTACCATTTTCTGCCATTCCTTTTATAGCTAGAGAGAAACCCTGAGTTGCGCCTTGCAACACACTGTTCATGACCAAATGTGCCTGAGTACAGTAGGCTAGAATGCAATTGGGAGCCAATCTTGCCAACATTGTTATTGATAATACCGCTGGCTTATGAGTCTCAACTAAAATGTATTTGGAAATAGATTTTAGGATACTTTTTTCTCTAGTGCTTTATTGATTGTTTGGCGTTGTGTCCTGTACATATACATGTGTTGTTCCATAGTGATGCTTGCAGATGAAGTTACAATATGCATGTTAATGCATGGCAGCATTTACTCTACAAAAGCTCTGCTATGACCAGAGCCAGTTGTGCAAACATCAGCTAGTTAATCGATTGATGGCGTAACAGGCTAGCTGTTTGCATTGCACACGATGCGTGACAGCCTCTGTAATGACAGCCACTGTAATGGCAATGTGGGATCCTCCACTGCGTTTCATTCAAATACACCTTTGAAAATGCATGTTTTAATGACAGGAAGAGCTGGGGCATTCCACACCAGTGGAGTCCATATCGGTATTTTTATAAATCTATTAGACAAAAGTTGCATCCTTATAAAATGACGATAGTTCTGTTTCCAAGCCCTGTAGTTTTTTTCACCATACACGCAGAATCCGTTCCAATTTCTATAGCGCGAACTTGCTGTTAAGCAAAATATCGCTGGTCACCTTTGATGCAGGCATGACCCAGCAGTGCCCATGTGACAATGTTTCTTGTTTGGTCGTGAGTTTTATTCCTTGTGCCAGGAAGCCAAAAGCTTCTGCCACACAGAGTCACAGTCCATTTTCCCCATGTTTTGACTGAATGCTCAAACATTGGCAACAGACAGACGCAGTCGTTAAGTTGGCACCGCAGTCACCATGTTGCAGAAAAACAGCTAGTAGCCTATAAAAAAATAATGGCTACAAAAAAATTGGGGAACTTATTTCAAAATGTCCCTCCCTGCAGTCAGTGGTTTCTGAAGCCTTTTTCTACACCACATTGCTGTTACCTGCTGGCTATTTGAATCTGGCCGTTATATGGTACTTAATTAGTGATCCATGTTGTGTTGACTGATCAGTGGCGAGCTTTTTCTCGGGCTTCAACTTCATACGGGCAGAGAAAATACTTGGTCAATCTTAAGGTCGAGCCATGTTGTTATTGCACCGTGCCGCGCATCCAGGCAGCCTGTGCAGGATGCACACGGAAACTACACAAGCAACGGAAAATATATTTATCCAAACTAATGCCTAAGGCATGGGGATACGGTTGGCCACCAGGCATTAGGAACCGAATGTAATATGCGTCGGTGTGGAAATTGTTCCCCCTTGTCGGGAATCGCACTAATATATTCGAGCGAGGCGTTCTTTACAAAATGGCAGCCATGGTGTGGGGACTGACTGTAATCGCTTCGCGAGGAAAGGACGGATATTTATTTTCATAGCCTATTATTCGTCGTCACATCATCATCAACGCGAGCCGTGATCAGTCTCCGAGCGAAGCACGTCTCTTCGTATTGGTCACTGGCAAGATGCCAAGTAGTGCAACCTAAGTTGCCATAGAAACGGTAAGATTTTCCATGTGTGGTTACACCTGACACGGAGTGAATTACCGACTGCCGCATCCTCAAAGGTTAAAAGATTCATTGAAGAATGTCATATAAAATGTTGCAACTGTCTGGAATGATGTTGCGCATTATCATCGGGTTCTAATAGGCTAATAGAACGTTAGAACCTTAGAACCCCTGTGCTTTGGCTCTTCTACACTGAATCGCGTTAGAATAGACGGCCTGATGTAGGTTGGCTACTTGAGTCTATACAGCGTTTCTTCGTTTTGTAGGACTATATGACATTCGTTGAGCGACCAAAGGACCGCCGTTCTCCCATATCTATCTATAGAGGAGCGCTGGGAGGTACAGTATATATGAACAATCCCAATGAAAGGATTTATTTATGACAACCCAGTACTTTAAGCTGTAGATGTGCCCTCAACAAATCAACACGGATCGACTCCCACCAATTGTTACCTATCAATCAAACACTCAGTCAGCGTCTCAAAAACGACCAACCTCTTCCCAGGTTATTATAGGCTACTATTAGCATAACGTATGGTGTTTCTCTACCAGTAGAACAACAACACATCCT